GGCTAGTGCCTTCTGTGAAACCATAAGTAATGATAAAACAGAAGTAAATTAAAGAATAGGCTTTTGTGAGGACTTTGTGCTGACCGAACTTTTTAGTAACACTTCTAAAATCATTTCAGCCATTCTAAGTGAATTGTAAACTAAAAAATCTGAAGATCTTTCAGCTTGACTAGAAGGCAGCATAAAAATGGATCTGTGCTCTCCAAGTACCCAACACCTACAAGTCTTTATCCTGATACCTTGCTCCACTCAGTTGTTCCAGTCAAGGCTTACCTCACTGCATATACAGTTCAGTCCTGTACAATCCCTCTGAACATTTAACTCCCTCTCCTATTTCTCTTGTGGACCTCTCCTCGCCTCCAGTTCTGCCCCTTCAGTTCCTGGAATGGCCCTAGGTTTTTGGGTGTTGGTTTTGTTTTAAATAGAAAAAGCATTGCAAAAAAACTCTTGATCAGAATCATGGCATTCAAAGATTTGCTGATGCCCCTGTGGAAAACTTTGTGTCATTATCTTTTCAACCAATTCTGCTGACAGATCATTTACTATTTGTGTTCCTCCTCCCTTGTTGTGTGCTACTGAAGAAAAATATAGTGGACTGTTTTCCAAACTTATTCAGATTTTTTAAGCAGGTTTCTGAGCTCCCAAAGCCGGAATCTGTTGCCTTTTTGTGCACTGCTGCAAGTGTCTGGGATCTCCAAAGTGTGTCTGGAGAGAGAAAGCTGTCAGCTGGGAGTACCAGCTGGGTCCTGTGCCTTGTTTCTCATTTCAGATGAACATTGCTTTCCAAGCTAAAAATAGTCAAGTGCCCGAGATTTCAGAGATGTCCCCTTCATTGAGTTTTATTTTCCTCTTGAACCCTAGCTGCTGCAGTTTACATTTGAAGCCCTAAAAATGCAAACAAACAGGATTTTGCAATTTCACATTTCTCTCTCAAAAGGCACACAAGACTTCTGTCAGCAATGTTTCCTGTTCAGACTCAAAAGCATCCCTGTGAGAAAAGCTGAGCACTTGGACCACCGCTGGCCCTTCGTTAAATTAAGGGAAAAGAGCAAACTCTGAGGAAGGAGTCTGACATCCCTGCAATAGAACTGGGGAGGAAGAGTGGAGTGCAGAACACACTGCAGTGCTCCAGGTTCCCCCTGCTCGCATTGCATTGGACCTTGCAGTGTACAGACAGGCAGTAAGACTCTTTATCCATAGTAAGTGTTTGTATTGGTCTTCCAAAGAATGGCACACTTCAATGAAGATGCCTTTACATCTGGAAAAAGCTACTGTGTTTCAAGACCTGTGCAGTCTTTTCCCGTAGCATTATCAGTAATCTCATACCAGGTGCAGGTAGAGACCAAGCTTTGTGCTAATCCTTTACCCTATCTGTTAACTGAAACCCAAGGCCATGAATGCTTTCTTACCTGACAAGAAGACCAAGAAGATGAGGTGCACGAGCTTCTCCATGTCAGCTGAGCAGAGAAGGGGACAAAAGAGGAGTCTGGAGAAAAGGGCTCTTGCCCGAGAGCAGCTTGCTTTTCCCCCCTCCTTGCTCTGCAGGAAGGAATGAGCACAGGAACTTGGCATCTTTTTTGTCCTGTGTATTGAGCAATTCACCAGGGACGGGCATTTCTCTCGTGGGCTGAAAATTCAGGCATCAGCATTGCCCACTCACAGCCACAATTTAGTCTAGACAGCCTGAAAGAGAGCATCATGTGATGGCCTTAAACCATGGTACTGGGAGTCCCTCTCAGCTCAGCAATGGTGCCTGTCGACCAGAGCAGGCTTTACAGGCAAGCTTTGCATGGGGTGAATTTCTGGAAAGCCAAAAGGGAAAGGGCAGCTCTCATTGAGGCTCTGCAGGTAGCTCAGTAAGCATCACAAGGGTGCAAGGAGGGCAAGCACATAATCTTGTGGGTTATTTTCAGGAGAAAGAAGATTTAGAAGAGCCTGCACATGAAGCATTCCTATTTGACTTACAACTGAAGACAGGAAGACAAGAACACTGTGTTGGGTGAAGCTGTGAGGTGCTTAAATGAGCAAAACAGACATCTTTATTTTGTACCTAGCAGAAAGGACACAAGACCAAGGGATAGGGGCATTGATTCAGAGCCAATCAGTGCCATACTGATGCCGTAGTTCAGGACTACAGTTAGGGAGCTTCCCATAGCATTAGCAAACTGGCAGGCTGAGGATGGGCTGCTGTTTTTTCGTTTTTCAGTTTATTTACTTGGAGATCTTCCATGCAAGTACAAATAGACCTTGACTTCTTAACTTGTGTGCTTATCTGCTTCTTAACAGGCAGATAAAACTGCAGGTCTATCCATTCATAAATATGCCTTCTTTTTCTTTCCTCTAATTAGTGTTGAAGAAAATGGTACCTTACAGTATCCAAAAATTCTCTGTGAGGCTTACTGTTTGCAGTTTTTCTTCATTCTTGCTCCAGTGAGCACAAATCTGGATTCTCTTTGATCAGAAGCAACTGTCTCCCTGAAAATGTCTCTCCCACTCAATTGTTTTCTACTATTCCACTGTTTGACCCAGTGTAACTGACTGCATGAATAGCAAGTAGATAGAGGGATCTTGGGCTGAATGAACCACTTCCAGAGCCATTTTCTTTTTCTTTCTGGTATTTCAAGTTAAACATGTCAACTCGGAAAATCTCAAAAACTACAGCAGCTTCCCTGCTGCAGCCATAGCAAGAGAAGCCTATTGGATGTGACTGGCTTGTGAATAAGGAGTGCTTCAGGCCCCTTTAATTTGCCACCTGTCTGCAGAGCTTGGTGCGGCCGAATAAAGTGCCAGGGTTTCTGGTCTTTTGGAGAAACTGAGCTCAGCCCCAGCAAACTCATTTCATATTGCTCACCACATGACTGCTAAATAAAGGCAGCAAATGTGTCAGTTGGAATATTTCCAGCAGAGAGAGGGAAGTAATGGTATCACTTTCCAAGGCCCTGGTGAGATCTCCCATGAAACTGCACATGCATTTCTGGTCTCCTGTGACTTCGGAAGAAGCCACAAAAGCTTCCTTTCTATGGTGTAGCCAAAAAACAAAAAAGTGCTGGAAGTAGGCATGCTGGTTTGTATTGGTCTTCCAAAGAACTTAGAGAGAACCAGCTGCATTGGTGAATAGGCTGGGAAGAGCTGTTTAAAGTACAGCACAGTGCTGCAAAAGAACAGAGATACATCTGCAACTGGCTGGATAACTGCAGAGATGCAAAGATGCCTCAAAACAATGAAGGCGAGACACCAAGTGCATTGGAAAAACATGTTTGATAGTTTAGGGTGTGATTATTCAGGATAGCAGGGTTTGATGAGGTCCCAGCCAGTTTAGTGTCCCTGTGGCAGCTCTTGGAAATTGCCAACCTGCATTAGAGCTGCACTGCAGATCTATAAATATATTGCATGTCTGACTTACTTGGACATTTATATCTGTAAAAAATCCACTCTTAATTACCATCGTGTCCCTCCTGTTACATCATCTGATGTTGAGACCAGCCCTCTTATGCTCTTACTTCTTCCTCCGTTGTCTGTGTCACACTTCCTGCAACTTCTTCGCACAGCCTACCAGTGTCTTGCTCTGTGCTACTGTCTGTACAGACCTTCCTCATGTCTGTCTCAGGGCTCATCCTTGCACTTAGCACAGCAAGGCAAATTCTGTTCAAAAATGTCCCAGTGCCCTGTCCACTCCTCTAGTACAATACCACATGTTCCCTTCTTTCCTTTCTCCAGAAATACTCTGGTTCTCTCTGCTTGTCTTGATTCCACACTGCCTTGGTTTAAGCAGCCAGTTTGTGTGTTTTTGGGGAGCAGAGGGTGTAAGACAGCAACCCTGCCAGAAGTTGTGGAACAAAGTAAGGGCCTTTGATTAGGAGGTGGTGAAAGGATGGGGCAGTCTGCACAAGCTACACATGGGAAGCCATGCCTGTAACTTCAGATTTCAGCTGCTGCTTCATTCTGTTTTTAATGTACAGGCCTCAAAGACTGCATAAATATGCTGTGGATGACCCTGAGAGCAAATTCAGCCCTCAAGGTTAGAAATAATTGAGTTGTCTAGAGGGTACAGTGTTGGAGACTCTCACTAGTGTAATCCACAGCAGCCGTGCTGAATCCATCCCACAACCCTTTGCACTCTGTAAAGGGACGCTTGTACATGCACTCAGTAGTGCCATCACCTGCATTCCCTCTTACCCCCAAACTCCAGCGTGCACACTCTATTTCTTGATCTAAAATGAAATACTTAGCTTTACTTTCAAAGCCTCTTACCATCTTACTTCTTACCTAAGCAGACTGATAAATTTAGGTTATAGGGGAATTTGCATTAAGTCTCAAAAAGTGTACATATTACTTATATGCACTGTTGTTGGTTTGTAGCTACAAGACCTTCTGGTGTTCAGATTCATACAGCACAATCCTCAGTTCGCTGAGTTTGCAATGCAGCATATCATCGTGTTGCAATACACCCTCAAGCAATTTGCCTTCAGGTAGATGCTGGTTCTGCTTATTCTTATAATCCAGTGCTCATATCCCCCACCCATTACATGGCAAATGAATGCGGTCACAGCAACGTTAGAGTTTTAGCCCTACAGCACTGGAATGAGTTTGTTTGGCCATAGTAGCTGAACCCTTACGACTGGGATAGAGTTTCTACCAGTGAACATAGTTGAAATACCAAACCCATCCATGAATATTGCTCTTTTTCAAAAGGTCAGTCCTCCACCCCTGCCTCTCTCCAAAAGAGTTTGCATTTTAATGGAACTGAAGAAAGCAGATGTGCAAGGGAACCTAAGAATTACCCAGCACCTCTGTCTGACCTGACAGAATCTGCACACTTGTGGAAAATTCTCTACTGGCTTCTAATAGGAGGGAGGTCTTAAAATGCATAGGCAACATACACATGGCAACAAAAACTTAGATCTTTCCCCAGTGTCCATCCACACACCTTCTATTCCCCATTCCCACTTTGTATTCCAATTATTTTCTGCCATTTCTGGATTGTTTTGGGATTCTGTGCTTCATCCTTTGTCATTCGTTGGTAACTGCTTGAATGCAATGCTAGCATATTCCACATTTTCATCTTTGGGTTTCCTGTGAGCCTGACTTGGTTCAACATTACAGTAGAGAGGATCCTCAGGAATGAGTCGGGATTTAAAGTTCAGGGTAACATATTTTAGGTCTTTGCTGTCATCCTTGGGACTTTCCATTCTTTCAGTGCTGTCAAGCTATGAAAAGAAAGGGAAAACACTGGTTAGCATGATTCAGTGCCAGGCCACAGCTGTTAGCAAAAGAACAAGATTTTCCCAGGAGGAAAGGAGACACATGTAAAAACTTACCTTCGGTCACGACAGAGGTGAAAGAACAGAAAACTCTTTCCTTCATCACCTCTCCTTGATACATGTTACGACCTCAGTGTTTAACCTTGGTTTCTAGTCTTTGAGCCGTTTGTCAGAGATTACTAGAATTTGCTCCACTAGGTTTTTTCCTGCTGGAGTTTCCTTATATTAATGACTCCCCCTCTCTCCAGCTAGGAACATTCCTCTCCCTGGTGACATTAAATACCATTTCCCCTCCTGCTCACAACCAAAAATGAGCAGCAAGGTCCTCATCAGATGGGTCAGCCAGCTCCTCACAGACTGTTGGTACCATACGGGAAATCTGTCGCTTTCCTTACCTGTGCTGTGTCTTCTGGTTTGTCATAGATGTGCTCTGGTTTGTCATAGGTGTCCTCTGCCTGTCTGTTACCTTTGGAATGAGCCAAAATCAGAGGTTTTAGAAGGAGAGAAATCCATGAAATGCCTGGGCATTGCCTATGCTTCAGGAGTTTTGGGGAAGGCTGTGGGATTGCCCAATGACAGAAGCAATGGGTGTGCCAGTGGGACCCAACTACCCTGAATCTGGTGAACACATTGCTCTCACTTTACTTCTCCTCTAACATGTTAGGTGTCCTGTCCAGAATCTGGAGGAACACGGGTTTGACTTATTGTGAGAGGAGATCACAGCAAGGAGCCTGGCTTGAGGCTTCCCAGGCCGCACCTGCCGTATCTTCTCCAGGGCACTGTGAGTTGGGAATAAGCTTGCCTGGAGTGGAATAGTGATGGCCAGAGAAGGCCCTCTTTAGTACAGACTAGAACATGAGGCATCACCAGCCTCCACATACCTTGTCTCTGCAGCTGCTTGCGCCGCCTGATGCCCAGTGTTATCAAGCTGATGAGTGCCAGGATGAACAGGATGCTCAGGACCCCAGAGAGTAGAATGAAGGTGTTTACATTTGAGCTGAAGCCAGGAGAACAAAGGAGTTACCGGTGTTAGATGGTAGCACAGCACGATGCTGGCACAGCCCATTACCAAACAGTGACCAAAAAAGGGGACAGGAATAGCTTTCATGCAGTAGCTTTTATGCACTTGGAAGGAGAGTCTGGTTCTCCTGCAGCAATGCTGTCTTGATTTTCTACCTGGCTGTGCCTTTGAGCTTTTCCTAAACTACTCTTCAGGCTTTAAAAACAAGCCACTGTTCAACGTTCAGAGCACAATTCCAGGCTCTCTGGAGGAGGTACTGCCTTTTCCTCCTGTGTTTTGCTGCACCTGGTGCACTGGAGCTGATGTATGATTGTACTCTTAGGTGCTGCTGCAGTGTTGATGACAGCAGATGTCCAAAGGGGAAGAAAATCCTTTACATTTAACTGGTAAATAGAAGGATAAAATAGCAGCCAAGGACTATTTCATTTTTAAATGTTCATGGACAGGAGTGAGCAAAGTCGAGACAGAAAGGCTTAGGGGCATAATCTGGGGGTTTCTGTTGCTGCAAAGAGCACAGCCCAAAGAGATAAAGATAAAAAAGCAGATACGCATCTACATTCCAGAAAGCCATGACTTGATTTTACCAATCTGCTCCTTCCTTTGTAATTACACTCTGGGCAGGAGCTGGGAGAGGAGAGGCCATCTTTGTATGGATGCCTGTCATATCTAATTCCTCTGTAAGCAGGAGTCTTCAGAATGCCCAGAGACTGCCTACCCCATGAAGACAGGCGTATTGTGGACGAGACATCAATAACTCTTGTCTGTATTCAAGCTTAGAGACTTTCTTTAGGCCTTACCTCGGTGCTGGGGTTTTGCCAGGAGTTGCCTGATTTGTGCCTGCAGTACCTGACAAAGTTGTTCTAGCCAATGCTGCAATCACAAACAAGAAGAGAAGAATAATCAGTCCTGGGCGGCTTTGCATTTACCTGCTAAACTTCCCTCCCATTGCTCCCATGGATATAAATCCACTCCTGCTGTGACACCCAGCACAGACAAGTTGCCCAGGCTCTAACCTGTACCATCAAGACTTGCTGGCAGCAGGCAAAGCAACGTAAGGATCAGAACGTGGGAGAGAGGGGCAAGTGTTTCAGCAGTAGCCCCGCTCTGTGTGTACCCACCCCGATGCCTGGCAGAAGGAAGTGCTTTAAGTGCAAGCAGATATGCTTTATGCAAAGATCTTCAGGTAGCAATGAAGTACTTAGCGACTCTGTGCTTAAGAACACAGAGGCTTGCAAGAGCTAAGCAAAGAGCATTGTCTGTGAAAGACTCGGCTGTAAGAATTTCTTCCAGGGCTGTTTCTGTGCCCAGGGGAGACTGTGCGTGCAGGAGCCTGCTCGCTTAGAGACTGCATTCAGTCCCATGTCTTAGGAGCTTCTCCTAGAGAATTATGCCCTCCCCTCTCATCTTCTGGATTGCCATATCCCTTCAGTGCTGCTCTGCCACATTCCTGAAAGACAGGCTGCAGCATGGTGCTGGTGTGCCACAATCAGGTGCTTAAATGTTATCACATATTGTTAAAACATGATGCTGAAACAAAACCTAGAAGTCACAAATCTTTAAAATATAGGTCTAAAGGTTGTCCCCTTGGCAACCAAATGTGAAGGTCTTAATAGTGTTTGAAAGCCAAGGGATGAGTTGCTATAAAGGGGCAGAATTGGTATGAGGATGAGTGACAGAAACACCTCTGTGAAGATGACTGAAGCTGCTCTCAGGTAAAAGAGAAGCAACACAGCACACGCATGTGGTTCAGTTCTGATCCCTGCTGCTATTCTGTAGCATGGTTAGTGTGGAAAGGTACAATGATGTAGGGTTTGGGCAGGCAAACATATGCAGCTGTAACGTGGGAGGTGGTGTAAGCTGGGCAGTGCAGAGACTAGAGGGAGAGAGCAGGTAAATGAATCTGGAATCTACAGACAACCACGTTTCCATACAGGTCAGTACTAACCATCAGAAATATTGAGCGTAACCTCCTCCATTCGGAAAAGTCGACTCTGTTCATGAAGCGCACACCAGTACACGCCGGAGTCCTGTGCCTCCAGCTTCTCCATGGTGATGGTGACAATTCCCTGCTGGCTGTCATCCTGGATCGTGACTCTGCCTTGCTGAGGTGTCCTGCGGTACCCTGAGGGCTTCGTGTTTGTGGTGACCAGTATGGTACATGGTTTCCTAGCTCCCTCTTTGCACCAGGCTTTGCTCACAGCCCCATAGTCTGGGGCACTGTACGAACACTGGACAGAGACATTACCTGACTCCTTGGCTGTGTATTGTTGGGTCTCTGGAAAACATCCAGCATGTTTGGTGAAATCTCAAAGCAGGCACAATTGCACCCCTTCCCCAATACTGGAATATCTGCTGTGGGCTGAACGGTCCCTGGATGTCTTTCTACTTCCAGATATGAGGAGCAGAAGGGGACTAGACCCAGATTACTCGTGCAGAGGTGAGTAACAGATTGGGTGGGTTCCTGTCCCCTTCCTTTGCTTCCCACAGGGACCGCATGCTCACAGGCACTCAGCCTGTAGGTTCTGGGAGGCAAGGACCAGGGAGGGCTGACAGTTGTGGGGCCAGGGCAAGAGCAATGCCTGGCAGTGGGGGGAGGTCTCCAGCAGCACCCAGCCGGGGTGGGCCGAGTGCTGAGCTGGGGAAGTTGCTCCTGGAGCCCCTGGATTGGCTCTGTGGGAACCAGTTGTGAAGAGTGGCCCCATTTGTGGGAACTCATGGGAACCTCCCCTGAGTCTCTGCTGCAGGCAGACAGAGCATGAAGGGCCAGGCCTGAGCTTTGGCTCCACAGACAGGGAGAGATGGGTGTCAGCTCTGCAGTGGCAGCACCAGGCATCTCCGTGGTGTGGCCCAGGATGGGAAGGAGAACAAGCAGGGGAGGTGAGGCTCAAATATGCTGACAGCCACACTTGGCTGCCAGTAGGTACTCACTCTTGGACACAGAGAGCCTGACCTCCATTTTCCAGGTGGGATGAGAGCCTCTGTAGATCACACACAAGTACGTGCCGGTGTCCTGGGCCTGCAGCTTCTCCATGGTGATGGTGACGGTCCTTTTCTGGGTGTCATCCTGGATTGATGTTCTATCTACCAGAGCTTTGCTGTTACGTTGTGTTGAAGGATAATCTGTTCTCACCACGTTTTTACATGCAGTCTGACCTTCTGTTCGACACCAGGCTTTTGTCCCTGTGCTGTACCTGAGGCTGCTGTATGGGCACTGCACAGAGAGACTGTCCAACTCCCACTTATGCAACTCTGGAAAACAGCAAATGTGCTCACTGACCCACGAGCGGTGGGCACATGGGTATCTGCCTCCCAGCCTGAGCTGGGCACGTGGGCCAAAATACGCCCTGGGGCAACTCCCTCATGGACAGCCCGTCAGTCAGGGCAGGACAAGAGAGAGCCGAGAGCTTGCAGGACCAGCTGGGTCTGCAGGGCTCCTTCTCACCATGTCTGTGTGAGCAGGAAGGTAGCGAGTGAGGCTGGGGAGGGTTGGGGCTCTGGGTGTTGGGGAAGCCACTGAGCTGTGTGGGAGAGGGGGGCCAGAGCGGGGGAAGGAATGATGTTGCTTTCTGACAAACTTGGGTTTGTGTGGGGAGAAACATACTCACCCTTGAAAATACTCAGTGAGATCGTCTTTAGTGGAAGATAGTTGTAGTGATAAGCACATGAGTATGTGCCTGAGTCCTCTGCCTGGAGGTTAGTCATGGTGATGGACACGGTCCTATTCACGGGGTAATCCTCTATGGTAACTTTCTCCTTTGTGACCTGCTTTGAGTATGGGTGTTGTGTTGAAGAGATCTCCACTAAGGGCTCACAGCTGTAATCTCTCACACGGCACCAGGCTTTCAGATGCCAGTACTGAGTCTCTCCATTGTAAGGACACTGGATATATAGAGTGCTTCCTTCCAATCGCCTCTCCTCAGCATCAAGTGTTTGAACTCGGAGACCTGTAAATATCAGATGTGGTGAGGGAGAGGGGAGGTGATGCAGGGCTGCCCACAGCCTCCCGACAGACATGAGCAAAGTCTGCCTCTCACCTTCCCCCGTGGGCATTGTGGCTGGAGAAACTCTGAAAACTGAGATCCGTTCCCCCTGCTAAATTCACTTGCTTGGAAACAGGAAGGTTCATTTCTGGTGGGCAGTGTTGAGATTTAAGCTGGGACTGCAACTGTGATTTAAAACCTAGTATCTTTGATTTAAAACCCACACACATGCAGGCACTAGACGCGTTGGACCTTCAAGCCTAAATGGAGCGATGGTGGGAACTGGGGCTGCCCCTTCCCTCCCCATCCCTGCCATGAGTTCCTCAGCTCAGAGTCCAGCTGGTGTTGGATTCCCCCCCCACTGTGGAACTCCATGGGCAGCGGGAGGTGGGGAAGGGTGTCCCACTCCCCCTGGGTGTGTGGGAAGCCTGAGGCATGCCCAGCCCTTCTCTTACCTGGGAAGAAGAGCGGCAGCAGGAGGAGGGCTCTCAGCTCCATGGCCATCCTCAAGCCCAGGGAAGGGGCATTGCTGGGGGCTGCCCAACGTGTCCTGTTCAAAAGTGTCTGCCTTGTGAGCCCTGCCGCATCACAGTGACGCTGCTGGAGGAAGTGTCTGAGGTCTTGCTTTCCCACGGAAATCCTTCACCATGTTTTGCAACAAAACTGATATTAAGATAATTTCTGAGTGCATTTGGGGAAGTGGCTGAGAGCAAAGCTCAGCCCGTCCTCATGGCAAAGGCCCTTTGCTGCTCTCGCCTGGCCATTGTCATGCTCTGCCCTCATGCCAGTGGCAGTGGGGCACTCCTTTGGCTGTCCTGAGGTGTGGAGATGGAGCAGGTCCTTTGCCCTGGCCTAGCCCTTCTCTCTGGGCTCTCAAGATGCCCTCTGCCTTGCTGGAAAGTCTCCTCAAAGCCAGGCTGGCAATGAGTCCAGGGCTGTGTCTGCGTGGACCCTCCCATGGGCCGTGCCCTTTGGGATGCCAGATCTCCATCACCCTAGCCAGTCCCCTTGTTCCCTGTGCACTGCTGTGCACAGACCCCTTGGGGTACCTACCCCCAGAGTGCCCAGCTGGAGAAACCAAACCAGAACCATTTGACTTTTGCATATTACACAGTAATGTCTCCACAGGCATGACTGAAATGATTTTAAACACAGGGGAAACAATGCAAATATTGAAATAATCCATTCAAAGCAGCTCCTGACACAACTGACTCGTGGCTCACTGTGAAAATGGACAGCTAAACACAGCTTCCTGGTTCTGCATGTCCTTTTGGTTCCCTTGTACAATTCAGGAACCGGAGATGATAGGGTGAGGGAACTGGGAGTCAGGAGCAGCCTAGAAGGTAAAATGAACCACAGAGTACAGAGAGCAGAGAATGGGTGGAGCAGGTCAGGCAGCAAGCCTGGGAAGTGAATTCTTCTGCAAGGAAAATCAGGAGGAAGGAGTTTCTCCAATTTTTTAAAAAAGAGAGATACTCACTTATGAAAACTGTCTTAATTTCCTTTATTCGGAAGAGGCAAGAGTCATCATAAAGAGCACACCAGTAGTCCCCAGTGTCTTGTACTGTGAGCTTCTCCATGGTGATGCTGAGAACTCCCACCTGGGTGTCTTCATTTATGGTGTATCTTCCTTTCTGAGTGTTATTCTCATACTGACTGCTCATCTTTTCTGTACTAACCGAGACAGCATGCTCTTTCCTGATTGTCTTTTTGCACCAGGCTTTCCTGAGAGCCTTGTAATCTTACATGTTGTATGGGCACTCAGCAGAGACACTGCATCTCCCTAGCTACCTATCCCTGGGTTTCCGGGAAAGGTCAAACTGCAATTAGAATACACACAATACAGTAATCTAATTCACAGGCATTTTAGCTACAGGAGGGTCGAATGGAACTGGGATGATAAATAAAATAATATCCAAAATATTCTGTCCTTCTGAAGCAAGTTTAGAATAATATAATCATATCCCCAAACAAAGCAAAGCTTGTTGAAACAGAAACATCAGGAGGCTTTGCTCTGAATTCATCAGAGTTGGTCAGAGAAAAACAGCCGAGACAGGGAAAGATCTGAGGCACCTTATGTACAAGAAATTACTAAAACAACGTCTTGCCTGGAAAGGAAATGACAGGGGTGATATCACAAAAGTCTATAAAATCAGGAATAGCAGGGAGAAAGAGAACGGGAACAATAATTCACTGTCTGTTATAAGAAGGAAGTCACTAGTTAGGAAAAAGGGAAATTCTCTACACATGCATCAAGTGTGGAGTTCACTGCCACAGGGTGTTAATATACCAAAAATTTTTATGTGTCAGCAGAATTAGTAGATAAGTTAAAGAGAAAGAAGAATTCAGCCATTGCTATTATAACAAAAATATCCTCTCCAGAAAATCACTGGAGGCTGGGGGAGTATTCAGGAGAGCTGTTTCTATGTGCTTCTGTTTTTATACTCCTTCCTAATTATCTGCTTCAGCCGGTGTTGGAGACCTTTGGTCTGACCTACTATGGCTATTCCTCACTAACCTAGGAGAAGGTAATACACTACACTGAAAAGGTAAGCAGAGGAAGTGAAGCAGAAATCTACAAAATGCCCCACATTTTCCTTAAAAAGAAATACTCACTGTTGGAAACAGATAGCTTAATCTCAATTATTTGGGAAAAATGAGAACATATACAGTGTGCACACCAGTACATTCCTAAGTCTTCAACTTGCAGCTTCTGCATTGTGACAGAGATTGTCCCCTTCTGGGTGTCATCAAGTATAGTGCTTCTGTCAGAACAAACCTTGTTTTGATATGCTGATAGGTGGTAATCAGTGCTGACCAAGATATCGCATTTATCTTTATCTTTCCTTCAGCACCAGGCTTTTCTTGTAGCCTTGTAGTTCTGGACGTTATAGGGACATAAAACAGAGAGACTCTTCAGCCTCATAGCAGGGTGGTATTGGACCACTGCAGAACATAAGAACCACAATGTAAATCCCAGCTAAGAGCCATGATGACACATCTTCCATGAATGACATATCCACTATGGGATAAAGTCTTCACAGGTGAAATCCAGACCCTGGCTTCAGCTGGGACCTCAGTCCTGTGTATCTCACACATTGCCTGTTCTCTCTGCCTCTCCCATAACAACTTATTTTCCCACGGCATCCCAAGTTCTGACAGGAAGAAGCTGCTAGATTTAGGTGAAGTAGCAATTTTAAGATATAAGGGCTCCATCCCTCCTTTCCTGTTACCACCATCACAGCAGAGCTGGGAGAAACTCCTCATCAGTGTTCACAGCTGAGCAGCCTCAGCTCATTATCAAATGAGTTAGTATAAAACCTCTGGTAGAGGAAGTCATTCTCTTCTTCAGACGTTGTGGAAGAATCTAGCAACCTAGGAGTCACTGAGTAAATTCTTAGGTTGCCTTATCTCAGGCTGTGGTTTTGGAAAGAAAAAAACACACTCTTGCAAAAATATTTGACAGAACATAAAATTGAGGTAAGCCTTAAAATAACTTGTCCTTTTTTCACAGAAATGGAGAAAAAGGAGACTAATGTAACAAATTTGAATAGCATTTTGTTTGAATTCTTGGTCTGAGGAGTTTGTGATCTAGCAATAAGGTAACAAAAGGTTAGGGAAAAGGGGAGTCTGGGGAACATTCAAATGTTTCCCTCAGGTTTTGTGGTTATTTGTCATATGCACAGTTTTTATAGCAATTATTTTTGTGCTGTCTGCCTTTTTATCAGTACAAACCTGGCAGTACATAAGACAGAACAAGGGTAGCGAAAAGGGCTGTGAGAGAGCGGGCAGCGGAGCATTTGCAGAAGCCAGTTCTGCAGTGTTTCTCGTGGTGTAGGTCTGTCCATGCCCTATGCAGCGTCACGAGTGGTGCGACAGGATAAAGCGTCAGGCTGGCCGAGGGAATGCTGCTGTTTCAGTGCTGGCTTGCGAACATCTCCCTGTTCAAGAGGCTGTGATGTGCCATATAGGGAGGACAGAGTACTAGCCATATTTTCAAAATTTCCAGTATTTAGCACTCTCTACTGAAAGAGAAGAGAAGGAATGTTGCATCTCAGCATCCCTCTGCATTGCTAATGGGGAAATGGGGTCTTTTTCTTATTCCAAATTAATTTTTTACTGTATTGTAAAGGATAACACAAATTTACTTTAAGTAAAAAATTTGGTCTTTCACAGAAAGTAAATATGGATTTGGGTTAAAAATCACAATTTTGCATTAAAGTGTAGTTCTCCTCAAGCAAATATTGCTGACTGTCTGTGAAGATCTGGTGTAGAAACTGTTCTTTATGTTGTAGTGTTGGGGGATTCCTTGGTTTTAGTCTGTCCTGTGTGAGCATGAGTCGAAATAGTCCCTTAAAACCCAAATTGTGCTGTGTGGCTCGGTGCCAGCTCCACTGTAGTTCTGCACGAGTTCTTGTGGTGGCTGGTGGGTTCAGTGTGTGTATTTGAGAGAAAGGGAGGGATCAGGCAGGAAACTGTGGTCGTCAAAAGATGAGGAGATTCTCCAGCTTTGGTTACAGCTTAGTGCTGTGCTCAGGGACAGATCTTTTCATACCTATTCAAGCTTTGTGTCTAGAGATACAGTGAGCACAAATATATATGGAATTATATTCCCTCTATGGAATAGTTAACAGGCCTCAGCTGGCTCTGCGGAGACTTCAAAAGACTGAGGATATAAAAGGTTTGGTAAGGAAACAGAAGACTATGTCAGTCGTGTGTGATAGTAAATCTCTGCTAGTCATTCATGGGGACAACTGAAATAGTGTTACACTGCTGTCACTTGGATGATCCCTGTTCCAAAATTATTAGCAACTCTTTCATGTACATTTGCTTCCTTGCTACCTCCCAAAGACTCTCTTTTTCCTTGACAGAGGCTTCAGAGGGATCCTTCCCTTCAGAGTTGCTTTTTGTGCTGCATCAAAGGTGCAGTGCTCTCTGCACTTAGTCTGGTGTGCCTCAGTACCTGGGATTCTGCATCTTAATAATCAACTCCTAAGAGGCATTTAACAGCCATGAAACGAATGCTTTAAGGCCTCCCTGTTGTGATTCACACAGATTTAAGCCTGTCCTTAAGTAGCTGTGATTTCTGTTACATATTGCACATGCAGAGGAGGAATCGCTGCAAGGACAGTTGTCCCTTGAGCCAGTGACCACATGGTCCTTTCAGGAAGCAGTGGAGCTGGGCTTGGCGGAGTCCCTTCTGCCTCCCTTTGAAATCCCTGCGCCCTTCTCTGCCCTTCAAGGCAGTGACAGTAGAGAGGTACAACGGCAGTAAATTCCTCTCCTCTGCCTCCCCGCTGCCGGCAGATGTGCTCACGGTGGTCTCCCCTGGGCCAGTACCTACCTGCCTCGCTCCACCAGAGCAGTGTAGAAAGACTGTACTGACACCCTGGCTGCAAATAATTTTCAATTATATGAATAAGCAGCTTATTAACAATACATTCTGGCTAATCATTTTGTGCTAGATATCTTTGCATTGTCTTGTCCCCAAATCCCTCTCTCATCAGGCACTTGATGCTCAGTAACAAGAAAGGGGAATGCACTCATTCTCTTATGAACAAATCCCAAGAGTCTGCAATTAGTTCAGTTTCTGCAACCGGTTGCCTACAAACTGAGCCAAGAGCTCTGCTGCATTGCAATGCCTTGTCCTTTCCCATAGCATCTGCACTTGCCACATCCATTAGAGGCCCTGTCTTTGAGGGGAGAAGCTCTTTGGGGCAGGATGGGTCAGGAAGAGATGTCTGTGCAGGACCCAGCATGTTGGTCACTGAGGGGCAGCAAGGAAGTGATGAAGTTGGTCCTTTTGCTGCATCTCTGACAGAGGATTGATATGGCTTTTAATTATAGTATCACAGAAAATAAGATGAATGTTATCTCAGGAGGTCACTTAATCTAGCCCAGTGACACACAGCAGGACCAGTGCTCTCGATGTAATTTCTAAAGATCTCTGTTTAACTAGTTTAGGCTTCCTGCTGACCTATTCCAGTGCTACATCATCCTTATTTGAAAGCTGCTCCTAACGTCTGACTCTCCCTGCTATTTCAACGCCTCGCTCCCTTTTGTATCCACCGTGAACTTGGAGAACAGATTATTCCCTTTCTCTTGCTTTGTATGCCGTGATGCCTGCCATGCCTCCCCTCAGTCTTTCCACTCCAGACTAACCATCCCCAAGTCTTTTAATTTTCCCTCCTAGGTTGTGTTTCTGACAGCTTGGATCATTCCCCCCCCGCCCACTAAATGCACCTCTTCTCTGCCTACCTACCTGGAGTCCCCAAAGCCCCCTGAAGCCTCCTTTGAGCTTTTCCTCCAATCAAGGATGAAACCATTCGCTTCTCTCTTGCCTTCCGAAGAAATTCTTGCTTCCCGTTGATTTACTCTCCTTGCCGTGAAACCCACAGGCACCTCTTTGGATCAGACACCTCTATAAAATGTCGGTAGCCTTGCAGAGAATGCCCTGCCCC